AAAAGATAATAGTAGTAAGAGGGGCTCCGTGAAGAAGAAAAAAAGAAAGCGTAATTGCGTGACCTGTGCTCCCGTCTTGCTGAGTGCATGTCGTGGCAGCCTCTCGTCCTTGGAGTCCTCGTTACTCGGAGCCGGTGAGACGACGCTTTAATACAATCTCTTCCGAATAGTCGCTATCCCTTGCTTATCTCGGTCGGGGCAAGGCCTAACGGTTTAATCCTATCACAAACTGTTAGTCGCGGAACATGGCAAAATCGTAGATGCGCTCGCCCTCGAAAATCGGAGGACGCAGGATCCACCTAGCCTTCGCGGTCGGGCTAATGAGCCCTTGTGACGGACGTTGTCGAAAAACGTCACGTCACAGTACATGATAAAATAGTTTGTGAAACTGATCACATCATATTATTATTACGAATTTCCTTTGCTTCAAAAATTAAATTACAATTATTATCCCTTACAGTACAATATCTCAATTTTGCTCTTCAAATGCATTTTTTCGAAAATAAGTTATAATTCTTTCTAACATAATTTATTTTCCTACGAGAAAAATAATGTTCAAATAAAAATAAATAAAAAACATATATTCAGACATTACTTTAAAATGGAAATAAAATACTTACAATGAGTTTTCACACAATTTTCACATCATTGGAAACGGAAACATTGAGTATAAAAGCGGGTATTTTGTGTCCGAATCAAATAAACTCAATATTGTTTACAAACTGATAACTCCCGATCGCCACGCCACACAAAGATTTTTTCCACCACAAACTTTTTTTAGCAGAAAATGAAAAACGAAAAATCCTTCAAACTTGCGAGAAACTTATACAGACAAAAATCATTTGGACAGAAAATACTCATGACTATACCGTAAACGATTAACAATATTTATGTTTACAATCCATGTAAATGTCACACGCTCACATACAGTATGTGCGTACACACACATACACACACACACAAACAAGTTTTTGTTAAAGGTTTTGTTGGTTTTGTGTTAATGAATGTAAAAACATTATTATACAACACTATACGATTAATTTACATACAACACTATACGAGTAATTTACATTACTTTGCCTTTCAAGAAAAAATGATTTATATACATATGATCTATATAATCATACGTATATAAATATATACAATTGTATAAAATTCTTTATAGTTATACATAAATATGAATTATATATAGTCATATACAATTATACGCGACACTACACAAAATTATATGTAACGTACTATATATAATCTTATATTGTACATATACATATACATATACTTATATAATCTTATATTGTACCTATACATATACATATATTTATATCATTTTGTATTACATACAATTATTTATGATTTTATACAATCATACGTATTTATATATAATTATTTATGAGTTATTTTTCTTAACATTTATTTTTTATTCGTCTGGAACTAACTGCTCCATGTTTAAGTTAAACAAATTCATTAAAGAGTGGCGGTACTAACGCACGTACAAGACTGAAGTATAATAAAGCAATTATAATTACTATATTAATCTTAAAAAGTTTTAAACGTGATGTTCAATGTTTCCCAAATTGACCATAAATAAAATTAAAATTAAAAGAAGAGTCCAAAGGTGTGATTTTGACACATGCAATTTGTTTATAAACAAAAAAAGTAAATATTAATAATGTAAATAAAAAAACTAAATAAATAGTGACTTTATAAAAAGCGTGATATGTGCAAATTATTTTCATGTCACTTTATACAATGTTAAATATTTTGTAATTTCGTTATTTTTTTTATAATCTTATCAAATGTGTCTTAATTTTATGAATTTATAAATTTTTGTACAGAATAATAAACATAAATAATAATGCGTATGTATATGAAATACTATGATCACATAAAAACATGCTACAATCGTCTATATGACAGTCGAAACTCTACAAATTACATACTATGCATTCATGGCCTTAACCAAAAAGTTGTATTTATTCTTAATAATCTTTATAACAAGTGTTTAATTTATATACAAATATTGTTCATATATCTTTTTATTATCATTAATCATTTATATCAGTTATGCACAACCATTTTTAAACTAAGGACAATTTTCAAATAAATTTGCGTATCGCATGATGTCTATTTTAATAGCATAGTAGTTCTCTTCTATCTCGTAAATTAATAAAAATAAACCTAACAATTAATTATAATATCAAATTATTTAATATTATTTATATCCGAGAACGGAGACATGCATAACTTTTATATGGTAATGTAACTGTTTTGATATGATAAAAGTTGTAGCATTCTTTTTAACGAATATAATGATGTATGATATAATGACATTATCATACCAATTATACAAGTTATTTCAATTATATTTAATCTTAATCATCCTAATAATGTGTGATTAATTTCTGTATAAAAAATGTTTATCTTTTTATTATTAATCGTTTACATGAGTGATGCGCTAATTTAGGGAACATGAAACATCACGTTTATAATTTTTTATGATGATGATTCCGGTTTTTCATTTTCTATTTTTTTAAATTTATTTATGACTTCAATTTAATACTATACTTTTATTCAATTTCAATGTTTTGAATTATTTATCTTCTAAACTGATAAAGATCCTTTGAAGTACGATACGTTTTTATGATTTGGTATTGCTTTTATGATTTATTATTGCTTTAATGGTCCCGTTAAACTTTTCCTTATCGAAATAAGTAAATAATAAAGAATAAAACAATAGGAAATTGGATAAATTTTGACCTGTAATTTATTCGTACTTATATATTCATTTACGTGTGTTTTGTTATTTATTTATTTATTTACCTATCTTAATTATTCATTTACTTGTTTATTAATATAAAATATTAGAATAAAATTTTAATCGAGAGAAATAAGCGGGAAGAGCCGCACAGCATGCTGCGCTCTTTCATACTCCGGCTAATTGTAAGCGCTATCTGATTGATTAACTTTATTCGTTAATAACTCTGTAAATAATGATCTGGGCTAAAATTGGTAAAGAAACTTTTACTTTATTTCATTCTCTTCCACAGTTTAAAACATAAATTAAGAATTTTGGAACACCCTATATATTAGAATTAAAACTAATATACAATTAGAAAATAGCGTGCATACAAGGTTTCAATATATGTTCAAATAACATCTCATCAGATATTTCTTCGATAATTATTTATTTAATAGTATATTACGTCCCAAGGCCAGAAAGTTGGATTTCCTGGCGTATGTGATATGATGGCCGAGGCGAAGCCGAGGCCATAATATCACATATGTCAGAGCATCCATAACAGGAATAACCATACTTTCGGCGGGTAGATCAAGAAAAATATTTATTACACCTATAAATATTAATACTCCAAAAAACTTATTACTTTATATATTGAAAGCAATCTGAAAGAAATATTCCCAAATATAGTCATAGCTTTACAAGTATATTTCACTCTGCCTGCAACTGCAGCATCTGATGAAAGAAGTTTTAATAAATTAAAAAAAAATATGATCAAATCATATTTACGACAACAAAGGCTTACATTGTATACTATGCAAAAAAATTAGGGGAGCACTTTAAAAACTGCAAATTTTGTCGATTTTCAGAAACCAATATCTCGGCTTCCAGGAATCGCAGAACATTGTTCCTTAGCGCGTTTTAAAGGGTAAGGCCTCTACTTTAAAATGGCCTAAGTGAGATTTGTTGTCCCAATAAACTGTTTTTTTCATATATATATATATATATATAT